TGTGTGTGTGTGTGTGTGTGTGTGTGTGAGTGATGATCAATACATAGTTGCTCCTGAACATTTTGCACCCCCACCTATGCAGAAGGTCAAGATCCCCTTTGTGTTTGCATGAAGCATCTCTGACTCTTAAAAACTGAGACACAACTGTGCAAGTTCAAGGTTTAAAATCTTGAGCAGTACAATAGTTCTCTGTGCTGCAGGAACATGGTTCAAAAGAACAATGTTGTGATTCATAGCTACCGTAGGTGTCTGTTAGAAGCCATGATAACGTCTAAATGCTGTTGGGTGTATCATAACACCATGATTCATGCAACATCATTTTTTCCCCTTGTAGATTCCCATAACTGCTACACAGCTGCACAAGTACATATAAGAATGTATCTTAGTAAATAAAATCAGTACATCAAGAATAACCATCTATCCTCATTGACAAAATAAAAAGAAATAAAGGACAGAGTGTCCTACTAGGAATCTTTCCTCCATCCTATTCCCAAATTCAAAGTTCAAAGTATTCCCACTAATATACATTACAATGCCTGCAAAGCCAGTGAATATCCAGTCATTAGCATTAAAGGCAGAGGAAGAAAATCTTGCCAAACCAGTTCTACTAGTAAGGCCACTGAGGCAGTAAGGAATAGAATATTGTTAGATTGTCATTTCTGTATGCTTGAATATATTGATTTAATATATTCAATCATTAAAAATGTATATTAAAAAATATTCAAATAGAAATATGTCTGGGTTATGAATGGAGAATAAATGTAATAGGTAGATATAACTCAGGCTTCAGCCCGATGGTGACAAAAAACATAGGATCAGTGATGCCCGAATAGTATTGCAGATTGCTAAATTGCTGTTTAGCAAAAGTTTGACCTTTTTCCTTACTAAATCAAGTGAAGGAACTGCCTGTATTTTCTAGGGCCTTGTAAAATATGGAATGTTGTTCTGTTAGAGATAGATTAGAGGGTTTGCATTGCAAGAGGTCACCTGTGCTCCCTTTTCAAATTCCTTGTTTACAAAAACTACAGCACATGAGTTGTTTCCTAGTGTAAAATGTGCTTTCAGTGGACAGTGTTACTACCAGAACTGTATTATTGCATGTAAAAATATATTTGGACTTCAGTGGTTTGGGGACAAGAGTTACTGCCTGCTCCCCCTGCCACTATGCAAAGAGTTTGTCTGTTTGTCATTGTTGTTACCTGCTGCTGAGATGTCCACTTTTTTGTACATAAAAGCAAAAGAATAAAATATATTGAGTGAAGGGAAACAAAGGGAACAGGAAGAAAGAGGGAAGTACGAAATGTTTCTACCCTATCAGCTTATTTTGTAACTAGGGCTAGAAGTTAACTCTGAGTGCCAAATAAGCCATATCTAAACCATGTTCACAATTTAAACCATGCTTGTACATTGGAGCAAACATTGGTGCATGCTTCTGCACTGGTGCTTGACCTTTGAATGGCACATGAGGTGACCACAGTCCCAAAAGTAGAGGACAAAGAATTGCAGGGGTAGGACCAGAAGAAAAAAGAAAGGGAACATTGGTTGAATTAAATTAAAATTAAATCAAATTTAGCTATTATGATTATTTCTCAGTCAAGATACACCTCCTTCTGTCACACTAAAATGGTTTGGCAGAGGTTTGAGCCTCTGGCTTGACAGAGGTTTGAGCCAGGCGTATTCAGGGCTTCCACAATTTGGAGGCAGTCCTAGTCCTTCAGGTTATGCTTGTGCTCTAACCGCAAGCATCTCGCATACCCTTAAATACAAATGCAGATCTCATCTGATTCTGTGCCCCAAACACCAATTGTAGTCTGTCTACATACATTAAAATTAGCAACTGTGAATTCCCAATATAGAAAATGTGCTTGAAAAACAACCAGAAATGTTATGTCAAAAGGATTTAGATTGCAATTGTATTTGTACTTACCTAGGAGGAAAGAGACAACTCTCTAGATCAGTTATGCTGGTTGAGAGCTATAATTTGGTGGAGCTTCCAATAACGATAAAATGGGAGCTATCCGGCCACACAAAATCTACACTGGTGCAGTTCTGCTCTCATAATAGCCAACATGGGGCAGAGAGAAGTGTGGGATGGAAGATAAATAAACTTCCATCATATCAACTTTAAGCCCTAGACAAAATGAGGCAGGGGGGGCTGCGGGCAGGGGGAGTCTTCCTGTTCAAATAAATGGACATGAAATCCAAGAAGTTGTGGGGTACTTTGAGGCAAGGTTTTTGTTATCCTCTTGTCTACCTCATTCATATCATGTTGTGAGATCTAGGTGTCATCACAGATAGTCCTCGCTTACCAATTGCCTTGTTCAGTGAAACAAGTAGCTTAAAAAGTAGATTTATGACCGGTCCTCAAACTTGCAGCCATCGCAGCATCTCCATGGTCATGTGATTGTGATTTGGTGCTTGGCAACGGACGTGCATTTACAATGATTTCTGCATCCAGCAATCATATGATCACCATTTGCAACCTTCACAGCTGGTTTCTGACAAGCATAGTGAATGGGAAAGCTGGCAGTAAGTTGCAAGTTGAGGTCACGTGATGTCATGCTTAATGACCTTGGGTGATTCACTTAATGACCACAGCAGAACTGATGTTGTAAGTTGAGCATGATCATGTGATGTTTCACTTAACGACTGTGCCACTTAGAACAGAATTGTTGGTCCCAACTGTAGTTAAATGAGGATTACCTATATTTTCCATTTGTTACCCTGTTGAATTGTCCTACAACTTCTGGTTTTCTTTCTTTTCCTTTTTTTAGTAAAAATGCTGCAACAATGTATTTTGATGTCTAATACTGGAAGAAGCATTAATTTGCATATTAGGACATAACTCTCTGAGTCTTAAAACCAGCTAGTATGAGTGGTGGAACAAACTTATCAGGAAGGAGCAAACATATAAGTATGATGCATGAATGTATGTAGTTCAATTGCAATGTAGCTCAATTCTAAGAAACTGCTTTATTCTATATATTCCATTTTAGGATTAGTTTTCCCAGACCCATCACTTTCTTAGATCTCCCTACAATAATACATGGATATGAAATATAGAGGTAAATCCAAACCTTACCCGCTTATGGAGGTACTGTTAGAAGGCTGGCTTCTCTGTGTCCCTCTAAAAGCAAAATAATTCCATCTTCTGTTACTGTCTTGCGTCCTCCTTCCCTCCTCCCTAACTGGTGCTTTTGTTTTTATAAATTAGTCTGAAGGTCAGAAGAGTATGAGGAGTGGCTTCTGCTGGGAAGTAAATTATTATCCTGCTATTGGCTCTGAGGGGATGAAAATACTGAAGATAGTGGTGGTGGAGAGGATAGTTGTTCTCACTGGAGGATTAAAGGCCAACTCAGCTTTCCTGGGAAAATGAAAAGTATTTAAGCAAGGTTTGTTTTCTGGAAGCAATTCACATGCTAGAGCTGAGCGATTAAGATATGTGCTACTTTTTAAATGCTAGCAGAAAGTCTAGAAAGTGTGAGTACAGATAGGTCTCAATTAGTGCAGTTAATCAATACCACAAAACGCTCACATTATTTGAATATGTACTATTCAAAGGGATATTCCTATGGACAATTTGGTAATTGGTTCCAGCTTGATGGAATTAGGCAATGAAAAATTTTAAACATACATTTTTTTATACAGATATTAATGAAATATTACAGTAAAAGATAAAAAGTATATACTTATAACTTAAATTCATGGTTAACAAAGTCACAGAATAGATATAGAAAGTAAAAAACCACCAAACATCTAAATATCATTCCTAAAGATAAGCTTACACTGACAAAAACATCTTTATTGTCTCTCAGAATATTTTAGCAGTGTAGACTGAATTGTTTTCTTTTTCTTTAAATCTTCATATACAGGTGAAACTCGAAAAATGAGACTATCATGCAAATGTTCATTTATGTCAGTATGGCAACTCAAAATGTGAAACCAATATATGAGATAGGCGCATTACATGCAAAGCAAGATATGTCAAGCCTTACTTTGGTATAATTGTGATGA